TCCTGCTTCCTCATCCTGCCTGTCAAGTTGACTTGAAATATTTTAACTAAGGACAAAGCTTCTCAAAATACACCTATGATAGAAATCCTTTTCCTCAAGATGCAACAGAAGTTTCAGATAACACAAAGTTTTGCTAAACACACGCTTTATATAAGAATAGTTTTGTTGCTCTTGGAATGAACGAAACCTTGCTGCTAATCAAATTTCATTCTCTACCCCAGCATAATTCTCACACCACAATAACCTCTGCTCCCTCCCATGTCCCCCACAACTTGTTCACTGTTATATCGTCAACTATTCAATTATTCTCATATCTTCCTTTTGCCAAAATATCCCAAGATTTTTCTCAAGGGCCTCTTCTCTTTTTCATCTACAAACTCTCAGAACACTTTTGAACTCTGACTCATCCAAACCTCTCCTAGTTTTGTTTAAAGTTTGCCAAAATTATTACAGGACAGGCAGACATCTGTTGTAAATCTCAAGTACTAAGAATTCTTAGTGAAAAACTAATATTACTATTGTCAAATTCTAGCCAGAGATAAGCTTCCAATCCTTTAGTTACCTTTTTCTTACGATTCCCACTTTCACGCTGCACTGCTTTCATTACGTGAACCAGCCGATCTACAAACGTCTGCTGGGCTGCCAACAACGAACGCATAACTCTGACAGACTTATCACCCTAAGTGAATTAAAAGAAACAAAATTAGTTCTTTGTTCTGTAATTACTTTATCTAGAAATTATTCTTTTATTCTTAGACCTTTGGGCTTCTAAGAGGTAAGTGAATAATTATCAATTTCCTGTCAACGTGAAAGGTATTTTCCGTAAAACATAATCAGAATCACAGAAGCTGGCAATCAATTACCGACCTACTAGTGGACTTCAATTTGCACCAACAGTTTCAGTGGTGAATTGAGGACAAACCTATTCACATAGCTAAAATAAGTTAATAAGTATAAGCACATGGAATATTTTCACAAAGCAAGTCAGATTTGAATAACATCCCTAATTAATAGGAAGTATGACATACACTAAAATGAGGAAAGACTGCAAATCTGCTCTAAATTATACATTGTAATTTCCAAAAGTTTTGGTTTTGCTTTTTTTCCCTGCTGCTCCAGCACCCTCTGCTGCTGATACACAGAACAACACTGTGAATTCAAAAGAGGTCTCGTCTCAATTTGCACTGCAAGGTTAAGTGCTTTCAATAAAGAAATAGTAAATAAAATAGGGAAAGGATTTTAGAGCCAGCAAGTTACGAACAGAAACAAGCAATAAAACAGAGGAAAAATTCTCAATACTTGTTCTTTTCTTTTTCAGCAGTTTCTTTGGTTTACCATGAACTCAAAAATCAAGCAAAAGTAGGTGAAACCAGGACGCTTCAAAAATTTCAACATATATGACATGAAAAACTGTCCTCCTCCTAGACACCCATGTTGTTAAAGAATGACTATTTCAAAACACTACGCACTTCCTGACAGAGGCATTACCTTCAGCAAAGCCTGACTAAATCTTCTCATCACGTTTAAGTACATTTCATGAGTCTTTGGGTCCCTCTGCTGAGTGTCTTGGTCTTCACACTCCACTATTACATACCTGCAGCATAAAACCAACACAAGTTATGCTGTACTTTGGTGCTACACAATTTGAGTGAAATACAACAGCCCCCTATTACAGGCTTGAAACTAAAAATAAAGTCAATCTTTGAACGAGATATGAACCAACAGGCGAACTCTTCAAAACTGCATAGTGAAATTCCAAGTTGCATCAGGAAAGTCTATCAGAGTTTCTGAGGTCTTTCATTTACAGTGAAGTGGCATCACTCAAACAGGACAAGTCAGAAGTCCAAATCACATGAACACTCCAACCAAGCAGTACACATTGGAGTAGGCATTCCACTATGCTACTACCCTTTACATAACGCAGTGGCTGCAAACTTGCTATAGACCTGCAAAACCAGTCTCACCCTACCTGTTCCATTTTAGCCTTAGCAACAGTGGAAGAGATGTTATTGGTCCTGGAGCAGCTCTGCAAAGTCTACGTACTAAAATGAGTTTTTATTTCTAAAATTATGAGTTGCATACAAAATTTAAACAGTACAATTAAAATTTAAAAAATTTAAACAGTACAATTTGGGACAGCTATACTGAAAATTTATTTTGATATCTTAAGCAGTTGTTTGGAATGCTTTTGTGTTTATTTCTATTTGCACAAGCAAAAAGTAGCTATATGCACAGGTCTTTCTGTTGATCAGTATATCCCTTAGTACTACTCAGCAAAAACATATAACCCCACTATTAAAAAAAGGAAGAAATTAGTAAGTCAGTCGATGTTCAAACACGGCATTTGGATTCAAAAGTGACTCTGCACATTCAACAAGCACACTTAGACTTTACGCTGACAGCTAGAATTACCCTTTCCTTACGCATTTGTGCAGAATCTTTGCAACTGAATGATTATGGGACAAGATTAGAGCTGTCATTTGCAGCTGATCAGATTTGACTAGTCTCATCTATCAATACACAATATATTATATATATATTAAAATAACGTATAGGTAACTTATTCCATGACTATTACCTCAGTGGAATTTGTAACTAAAGATTACTTCTACGACTTTGGTAATATATTGTTCTACACCATTCCCTCACTAAAATGACAAAATTAGATTGCAGTAATATGTGCATAAAAATAGTCCATATTCACAAAGTCTGCACACCAAAACTTCAAGGAAAACAGGAAGTAATGAACTGAAACATGTCATCTTCATTTGTTAAAAAGCTCTAGATAGTTTCTCAAAGCTATCTTGAAACAAGAAGTAAGAGTACTGCTTCATACTTGGATAGGTGTCTCATACATCCACAGAAGAGACGGAATAAAGCAGGAGCCCTGACTTCTGTAGTCACTGTTAAAGTATAAGGATAGGACAGCTTTACAATGACAAGTGACTGAGCATGAGGTTTGATTTTCAAGGGTTATTGTACTTTTTCCATTGATTATTTCAGGTGCACACTGTGTCTGGATAGTTGAAACAAGCAATTGATCAACAGCCAAGAGGATTTATGGCTACGTCAGCTCAAACAGTGGCTGCAACATTTGTATTTTGTCACAGAGAAATTGAGATGTCTGGAAAGAAAACAAAGACAAAATTCACTGGGCTCTTTGGTTTGGTGCGGGTGTTTTTGGGGTGGGTTTTTTTGCCCTTTTTTATTATCTTTGGGTTATAAGACAAAAACTTCAGAGTTTGGGATGTTTGAACTTTATGTAGACTGAATGTCTGAGATGTTGCCGAAATGCAAGTGCAGTTTCTAGCAATGATAGAAATAAGCTAACCTATTAATGCTTATCTTAATGAAGAATATTTTATTAAGTCAGGCATTTGGCTTCTACCTGCATCAATTCAGCCTGAATTATTTTTAATCATTTAAACTCAATAGCACCTTTTTCTGAAGCCAAACATTATCTTTGACCACTGTAAAAGAAGTATTTACACTAAGGAACTCTAGTTAAGTCATGCACTTACTTCAAAATTAAGCTACTGAAAAAGCAATTAAATAATAAAACTTAAGAAGGCATTTACAAATGGAGTCTCTCTCAGGGTAGGCTAGGATTCTTGTAGGAATTTCAGAAGAACAGTTTAGTAAGTTTACATCACATGTCATACTCTGTTGCTAATTCACAGCTTATATGTGGTTAATATTCATAGACATTAACATATGATAATGTCTATTAGTATTTTTAGTTATTAGATACATCTACAGGATGATACAAATGAGAATCATTTGACTTAAATTTAGCAATGTAAAAGACATCTATGCTCTTTATTTTAAAATACATGTATATATACAAGTAAATAGCTGTGTGTTGTGTACAGGCATACACATACATAAACATATACACATACATACACGCTTTCAGAATACAGCTCTCTTCACATGAGGTATCTGCAAATGCTTACGCAGAAGGCATGCAGATAACTAGTTTAGGGATCTAATTTAATTCTTAAACCACTGCAGTAAGACAAGATCTTTAAATGAGTAATCTCACCTCTCCACTATCTAGATGAACTATTCACAACTAAAGTTCCCCCTTAAGAAAGCACATCTGCAATGACATTTTGTTTGTGCTCATAGAATGGAATCTAAAAAATAATCAGGTTAGCACCAAAAAATTAGTGCTTTATGAACCTTCATAAAGTACACTTCTGCTTAATACTAAAGTTGATAACCTTAATATTCTAGCCAACACTGTCAAAAGCTATAAACACAAACCAAACAGAAAAACAGAGCAGAAGATGAACTTCATCTCCTTCCCACCCCCATAAACAAACTGAATGACAACTTATAAACTATAGCTAGGCTTTTTTTTTTTTTTTTTTAAAGACTGTACTTAATGCCCTACAAATCACCTTCATCTAACAGTAAAGCATTTGGGCATTTTAAAACCCAGCACCTTCCTTTTAGTAATTATCTGTTCAAATGCATATTGTTTTAAATTTACTACTTCATCCTGACAGAAATTGAGATTCTCAAGATCTCAAGACAGGTCATCTTTTGCTGTGCATCCTTCTGCGCATTATATAAACATTGATACAATATGAATAAATAGTTTCTAACATACCAGTATAAGTAGTTTGCCAACGTGGAATTTTTGCACGCTCGTGAAATCAAGAAAGTGCAAAGGTCTTGCTGGAAGAGATTTAAGAAAAGTAAAATTAAATTACAAAGAAGTCTATGAACTTGAGAGAGAGATGAAGTTAAGGAAAACCCTCAAACAATTGCAGGGAGCTTTGAGAGATATATTCCCTTCTAAAATCTGAATCCAATCCAACCTAATATTTAAATCATCTTAGTTTTAATAATACTCCAAATCCAGCAAAACACTACAAGTAAAAAAAGTTCTTCTACTACAATAATGTATTTACCAACACGTCAAAAGTAGGCGATGTTCTCAAACAATAAAACTTTACATTAAAGCTTCTATTTACCATATATTACATTTTCCTCCTATGCAATTATTCCTTGCTGTAAGACCCAACCCAAAAGGGATTTGCTACCCTGTTTTGCATCCAGAAGATCTAAAACTCATTAAGATGTTCTACATCTTAACATAAAGGAAAAAAATCTGTAGAGAATACACACCATTCAGCTGCTTTTTCAAGGTTTAATATTCCAATTAACAAGAAATCTCTGTATGATCAATTTGAGGCTTATTATCTATGCAGTACTGAGACCCAAAAAGGAAGATTTGCAACAGGGAATGGATCTTTAGCTCAAAAACCAAATAACTGCACATCAGGTTCCTTCAAACAGTCCGTACCTTTTATCTTCCCCCCTCCCCAGTCCCATTTTTATTACTCTTCTATTTGTGGTATAAATTGAGTATAAACCTTGGCAGATGTAAATCAACATACAGTGTCTCACTTAGGTCCAAAAAAAGGTGACATTCCCTCCAAAGAATATGGTTACAGAAAGAACAGACTGCAGAGATTAAAATATTTGGATAACTGTTTTCCATTAGAAAAACTGCTTTAAAACACCTCAAACACATGCAATTGTCAGTATCTAATCACCATGAAATAGCCTTTGCAGTAATTTTCTCCTTTAAACCAGAGTACTTTCATTTTATGAAGAATTCAGTGCCCAGTCCCCTAGTTTTGGATAGTTTTGACCATGCACACAAATAAATGGCCTGTAAAAAAAAAAAACATTTAAGCTACAGCTATTTTCTTAGCACTTAGGTTTTTCGAGCACTTCAGTATTCAGCAACATACAGTAGAAAGATTCAAATATTCACAAACAAAAACAGTACTATGTCTCTAAAAAGCCTTGAGTATAAAAAAAATACAAGGTAAAGCATTTATCTTACATCAAAGTTTTCGTTGTCTGGAAACTCCTTTGTCTTAGAAGAAAGGGGTGGTGAGGAAACAGGTGCAACAGGATTCATGATCTGGGAACTACATAAAGGAAAGCATGTAATTGGCATAAGTCAAAGTTCTTGTTGGGGGGCATGATGCATGGATAGAAATAGCAACACTTTCACTTCCACAGCATAATAAATTCAGAAAACTGGAAGAGAAGTATCTTTTAAGATAGTATCTCAACTTTATTTCAGAACAAACTGCATGAACAGCAACTTTGACAGCTGCAGTTCCTGAAAACAGCAAAAATCTGTGCCTGGATAGCTACACAGTTTATGGCTGTGAAGGCCGTTCACTTACCGCAAACTTAGCATTTTATTTCACCTTCCATAAAAAATAAGCAGACATAGATGGTAATTTAGCAAATCCACATTTTCAGGATAAGGTTTTTTTTAAATGTTCTTAAGATGAAATTGCTAATACACAACACCTGCAAGCACTCGTCTCTGGAATGCAATTACACATAACAGAGTAGACAAACCCAATGCTTGCAAGGCAAAATTATCAAGACAGTAAATTTACCTGAAAGGAAGTAATCAAAACAGCTCTACTAATGTCTAAGTGTCACTGCAGCCTCAAAATACACCATACATCCCAGGGCACCCACTCTACAGCTCAGTGGCAAGATCAATGAAAAGCAGTATACTTATAATATGAAAAGTATACCCTAGTGAAACGAGTGATTAGATACTGAAGCTTAAGACTAAAAAGCTTGGAAATTTGTATTAAATATTCACCGCAGACTTTGGCTAACAACGTTTGTTTGCACCTTGCTAAATATCATATTAATTAGATATTTCAGCCTTTCTTTGGATTCGTGCAAGAATAAAAAGTGTGCTCCCTCAGCTCCTTTACATTCACAGGTCTCTCCCTACACTTTCTTTTGCAGGAGCAGGAAGAAATTTCTTTCCATTTCAGACTGATTGGACTTTTAGATCCACACTCTTTCATCAAACTGGCAAGTGGAGCCTCATACAACAACTTCACTGAATACATCCTAACTTTTGCAAGGACAGAAAGAAGCAATGCCAGCCAGTGTTCTTCCAACTCTCCAGAGCTTGTCTTCCTTTCATGCAGTAAGGTCAAAGGCCATAACCTCAGGATTAAGATTGTTTGCTCTGTAAACTATCTGTAGTAAGGAAATACATTCTGTGAAAGTTCAGGAGGTTTTTCTTGATTTTTTTTATGTCACTGCTTCAGATTATAAAACTGGATGTTGAATATGCAACGGTCCCTAAAAAGTACAAATAATTTGAGGACTGAATGTTACACGTTTCTGCTTTTCTACTGGAAATCTAAGCTTCTTACCTGTCTATTTCTGCACCATTAGTTCCGGATGTTGTCACATTTTCTGACATTGAACTTTGACTGTCCCTCTTGTTAGGCTCCAGTCCATTCTTTATGTCATCAAAGTTTTCATATTTCAATGCCTGGACTAACTGTAGCAGGTACATCAGCAAATCCTCATGGAGGAAAAGAAAAATAATTGAAGGGGTCATTCAAAGCTGACTAGGACTCCATATATTTTCAAACTTCTAATTTATAGAAAAACTTAGCCAGGATGCAGTGACCTATAAAGAAATGGAAATTGAGGTCTCCCTAGCAAGCAATACGCAATAGAAAAAATAGTGTAGGATGGAGTTCGATTCCCAAAAGATACTGAGTTCTCACACTACTACTTTTTTGTAACTGAAAGGCAGTAAGTACTAATTAAGTAAATATTCAAGTGCAATTACTATTTTAAAGTTCTCTTTAGGTAAGCTGCCTTACTTGCTTCCAGCATCAACAAAATACACCTTTCAGTATGTGGCTCCCAAGAAGAAAATTCAAGCATAAAATTTGGACTGTGGTACCAGGAAATCAGATTCTCTCCTCTCTTACACACTTTTTTTTTTTTAATCCCTTGTAGAGCTGGGGATCCAAATAAAAACCACGTATCTGATGTATTTTAGATTGAAGAATAGAATTTTAATCACTCACTATTTATAATGTATTTGTTGCCTCTACTATTCAACTTTCTCTATTTAGTTGCCTTCAAATGTTTCATAAAAGGTACATTTTTAAAGTCAAAGCAGTATGACCTTCGCTATTGAAGTAAGCGTGCAAAAAACTGATATATTTATGCTCCCTATTTTAAACTCTATTGATTGCCAAGGATTCAAGAGTTATGGTAATACATTCAAAGTCCTTTTTTTTTTTTTAACTGTCAAAAGAGAATAAAATACATAATAATTAAAATTTAACAGATTAGCATCTATTAAGTGGGCTCTGCTCACAAATCACAGCTCATCATCTTCTAATCAGTACACAATTACTAACACTTTATTTCTACAGATGCTTTTCTACTCACTTTCTTTAGCAAAAGAATATGATGATATATTGCTTCAGTTTACTAGGTGGATTTGCTGGAAATCTTTTAGTAGACTATTTAAGTTCAGAGCAATTCTATGCAGGTTAACATTCAAAATTTATCACTGGTTTCTGTGGAGAACATAGTTGTTTCACCTTGTTTGACAAAACCAGTTATCACTGGCTGTTCCCACTAAGACAATTATCAGTAAGTGCCACTTAATAATGTGAAGATTTTGCTCCATAAAGAGCTTATAATGAACAGTATTACAGTGAAATTCATTATATTTTTTTAGTTTTCCATCACTATTATTCACTTAAATGCCTTAAAAAGTAGCAAATATTTCAAGTACTCAATGACACCAAAAATCCTGAGAGCAGCAGACTTTCACATGTACCTACAGCCCAATGAATACCTCATCATCAGCCTGCTGAAGCCTGGCGACGGCATAGCGCCGAACCGTTGGGTTGGTGAAGTGAGATGACAGAAGTTCCAGAGAGTCTTCCACATCCATGGGCTTCCACTTGCCCAGGAGCTCCAGTGCTTGCTTTGCCTCTTGTGGTAGGTCCCAGTTGACACATTTTAAGAATTTTGTCAAGGCCTAAATAGAAAGAAATTGGACAATTAAATCAGTGAAAAGCCAGCCTAAACAAATGATTTCAGAAATGAATGTTTCACATTAAAGTAGAAGTAGATTCAGACTATATTTACATAAGCCCAGACCTGAGGAACCTTACTGATGTAAAGGACAATATGATATTGGATTGCTTTAATACATCCTAGAAAAATGCAGCTGGGTTATCTTCTAAGTAAAATGTAAAGACAATGGTACTGCTCTACCACAATTACCACTACATAAAAAATACCCACTCCTGGGGGAATATGTAGTTATTTAATTTACTTTGGGCTGTTGGTGTGCTACTACTTATTCTGGTAACGCTAACCCTTGTCTAAAAGGGATGAAGAAGCGCCTCTTTAATATTGGCAACATTGGTATTTTAAGCCAATAGTGTATGTAGAAACACTGCTGTAGTAATAGCTAGCTCATATGACTTAAGAGGGAAAATTACAGTTGCCAATTTTTAAATCAGTAACATTGTAGAAAAAGTAAAAATAATCCTGACTAGCTTCTAAAACAATGAAGCTCTGTATCTCTGCAATAACAAAACATTGTAGAATGACTGCCCGATGAAGCACCTCTTGCAATAATAAGGCCTCTCCAATCATTCAACTTACCTTCTCCTGATTAGTAAGGTAATATCTGAATTTCCAAACTAGATCCTGTTCCTCATAAGTTAGCTGCTTTGTCGGTGGATAACTCACTATGATCTATTAGATACATAGTCAGAAAGTGAGGTTAAAAACAAGAACAGGCATAATCAACAAGTTAACAGACTACACTGTGACAACACACAACACTGACAACACACAAAAATAGCTAGGGGAAAAAAAAAGCTTTCCAACAACACAAAGTTCTCATGCTATCATGGTGATGGCTCCTCAGTTATGCAGCTGATAGATAGTGGCAGTGTAGGCAAACATACAGTTACTTTAAGACTACCATCAACATCTACATGATAGGTGCACGATATGCATTCTTACCCCCAAAAAACTTTTACAAAAAAACGAGCAAGTACTTTCTGCTCCTTTCTGAGTTGGACCCATCTAACTAAGCACCTGTAAGAAACACTTAATGACATTTCTTCATTAATGACTTTCTTTAAACTGAAATGAACTGTATTTTCCTTAAACTGCCACCACATATTAATACCAATCTACCTAATAAAATTCAATTTTGCCATCATATGACTGACTTACATTAAGCTGATCTCGTGTAGCTGCATTAGGCTTCAGATCATGATCAGAAGGTCCACTTCTTAAACTTCGAGCAAGCTTGTGGTGTTTGCTTTCTACTAAGTTCTCCTAAATGTAGGGAGTAAGTCAGTATTTATAAATATTTAAAGTCCAGAGAAAATTACTATTGAAACGAAACCATCTAGCAAAGACTCACCAGTATCTTGAATAATGCATGACAATTAAAATTGACATTAAAACTACAGTGTCTTCTGGAATTTTTTTGTTGTTTTAGAAGAAATTCCTACAATGATGTGTGGAGGGTTGTTGGGGATTTTGCATTTTGTTCTGGGTTTTTTTTTGTGGATTTTGTTTTTACTTCACACAATTTACAAACCATATCTTGCCTTTCAGTGAATTGCTGCAAAATGCAAGCGTTTCAGTCAACACATCTGTGATTTAGACAGCACTCAAACGTGCTAGCCGCTTTATAAACATTTTTAGGATGTTTGCAATATAAAGCTTTGTATGCAAGAAAAACTTGTAAAAAGTTTTCCCCACTGTTAATGCCATGTTAGCAACAGTAGGAGCCACAATAGGAGCCACAGTGCCAATGAGATTTCAGCAGCCAAGGCAGTTTTCAGCATTGTCAGACTTGCTCTTGCAGTGTTAGAGTACACAGTGCTCAAACAGTGTTGCCAGTAGAAGCCCACTTACATTAAGGTTCCCAAAGCTGCCAATACCAGTCCCACTGAATTGGCATCCACAATAATGGAAATCTTTTCTAGAACTGTACTTAGGCACTGTCTATATGAAAGACAACATACAAGAGAGTGTTGGGAGAAAATATTTTAACAAATGAAGTGACCAAGAGTTACTGCACCTTCCTCGGAATTTCTTTTCTTCAGCTCCCTCTTACTTTATATTCCCACCCTCTGACCTCTTTTGCCAACAATCCCCCTTCTCTGCTTTCCTATACCTCAGAAGCAAGCACATTAGGTATGGAAAGGAGTTGAACATAAGCATTACATCAATTCTTGTATTTTAATCTAACAGAAGCAGGAGAAAAAAAAAAAAAAAATTAAAAGTCAAACTCATTGATATTTCTCAACTGGTTAAATACATCTTTCCAATGGAATTTTAAAATATTACAGACAATAATACAGGCAAGTTTTATCTCCCCTTTATGAAAACTTCAGTAAAAATAGTGTAATATAGATTGCACTACATGGAGCATTGCTTACCATAGACATCTGCGGATCTGGAATCTTAACAATTTCAGAACTTGTTAAAATTGGAGATGACTCATCACCATCCTGAATGGCAAAAAGTTAAAGGCATATTAAACATCTCAAGTTTTAGGGGGGAAAAAAAAATCCACGTTATATCAATGTACTGTGAATTATACTACAGCGAAAGAATGATGCAACTGCACCTTGCTGACTTTTGATAGTTATAAAAGGGGAAAACAGAAAATAAGAAATGGATTTTTTTTCTTGTTAGTTTTTGACAGATGATAAACAAGGTGACAAGACACATGAAAGTTCGTCTGAGGAGATTCAGCTTGGCAACTCACTACCATGCTGGCACACAGGCTACTGAGTGGAGAAATTTCCCATTATTATTACACGTGTCATCTATAAGCAGAAAGAGAAACCCAGTCAGGGTCCTTATTTCCACCAAAACCAAATCATTTCCTACAAATGATAGGAAACATATCATTTGTATGAACATTGTATCTGTATGTATCATTTGTATGAACATAACAACCATACTGCAGAAAATATCTCCTAACAGTTCAACATACAAGCCATGTGAAACACAGATGAATTTATGAAGATACAAGTGTGCCTGTCTATCACGGGTTCCACACGGAGCGTGACAGTCTCTCCCAGAAGTTCAGGCTGTGCTGCTCTGGAACAGTACAACAGGAGCCTCTTAGTGTCCTTAGGGGACATTAACCTGCTCATGCATAAATAAGGCAGAAATGAAAAGTTTCCAGTTTGAACAAGGCAGAAGGAAAAAAAATACAAAGCCTGACACCACATGACAGAAACAGCAACTCTATTTCCCTGCTCCAGTCCCACTCAGCTGTGTTTTGTGTACCTTAGAAGTGTATCTAAGCATTGACACAATCTACAGAAGAACGTTTCATTTAAAAGACAGTATAAAACCGTAAAACAGAAAAAAAACGAAGACAACACTAGCATAATATGTGCTATGCTATATGTATATTTAGGCTGTTCTCATTTATTTTGGAGTACTTTTCAGCTCAGAATCAAATTTTGGTTTTTGACATATCAACATTTCCTTCAATAATATAAGTTTTGAGATAACTTGCTCAGGCTTGTTTCTACCCCCACTCTATTTTATTTTTTTCCTCCTGCTTTTCCAATTGCATATGCCTCTTGGAATGGCTTTACTTTCATACTTTTCAGATGTAACTTTCAAAGAATTGAAGGGTTTGTATGAAGGGGAAGATAAAAGAATCATTTGTCGCCAAGATGACACGAGTTAAAATTGCCATTAAACTTTCAGGAGAAACACTTTTTTCCAGCTACATAAATTTTGTATAGCTGACTACAGCAAAAGATCTCTTATAATTAAAATGCACATTCAGGAAGACACTTTTATTACATTTATTAGCTTCCTGTGCCTTTCTAAAGTAAGAATTTTACAGTCAAAACAAAGACAGTAACTACACACACATCCATCCCAGTTAAGGGAAACACATATACAATCTGTCTGTGGCTGTTGATGGTCCCAGAATATGAGATTTGCTTCTCCCATTAGTCTTTAAAAAAGTATGCGTGCAAACACAGAGGAGGACAAAGAGTCCATTTGCTTACAGTTTCTGTTTTAAAACCGTACTGCCTAAATAACGAACTTAGCTTTAACCTAACTGTATGGAAATGCTATTAATTCTAAAGTATTTCAATTATAACAAAACACTACTGTGTCAATGTAACAGTAGACTGAACTAAGTAAGAGCCAGACTGACAGATTAGCACTCGCACATTAAAACCTTTGCCATCCCATTGGACAGAATTTTCAGATCACGTTACACTAGTTTTACAAAGTCAAATTACATAAAAAACAGTGAAACATTGCAGGGGGGTTCCTTCTGAAAAGAAACACATGCAACTACAAGAGATGACAGACTGATTTCTATCTACTAACTGGTTATCTTCCTCATCAAAATCATGAGGCTGCAATTCGAATTGACCTTTCTAAAACAACAAAGGATTACCAATGTCCCAGTGACAAACAAGTTTCCACCCCATTTATACCCTTCACATAAAAGCGCTGCAGGAAAAAACTGACCCAGGAGTGGATTCACTAGCAATTAACAAATGTTCAAACTCCTACTGAGGCATTTCTAACATCCATATCCTATGTGGAATATCCACTGTAAGTAGTAATAACACCCATAGTACTACATCATTCTCTCAGTGAAAACATTCCGATAAAATAGCTGTAAAAGGAAAGCGTCTGACAAAGCTTTCACGCTTGTAAAAATGGAGGACCTATCCCACAATCAAAAACCTATGACACCTATTACCAACTCAAAACTTACTAGGATGAGAATGACAAAAGCACAATTGCCTAAAATTTGCTTACTTACAAAACTAAAATAAAAACACATGAAGCCTTCCAGTGACTAATGTTGAAGCATTTGTAACACCCTTTAAAACCCAGACTGGGGATTTTTTCCAAGACTAGCATTAAAAGAATGATTTCTAAACTCATTGCTGACATGTGTCTTTTTTTAACCTTTCAAAATATTTTAATGACTGTTCGTCAAATTCCCCCTCTCAAATGCAGCTAGATCATGCTGAGGAGACAAGCTGAAAAGCTCTAGTTATTCAGCTGAAGCAGTAGGAAAACTTTGCTCCCATTGCGTTTTAGAACAAAACCTTAAGCTTCAATCAAAACTTGCTGTGAAACCAAGCTTTTCCAAAGCCACCATGGGACAAATTACTGCGTCAGGAGTTAACATTTTAAGAAGTATTTTGTGAAATCTTCAAGAAGGCACAAAGCCATTAGCTTCCCCATGAAGGACATCAGTTGTTTAACTTCCCTTCCAATTAGATTAACACACAGCTCTAACTCTCTCATATTTGGAAAGCATCACATGGATCACTGACCATGACCATACAAACTTACTAAATCATATCAATGCCTGAGGCTCAACTCTAATGTAAGATTTTAATTTGGTCAGGTGCATGCTTTTAAGTGTCTCTCCTGATCATCCCCATGCAGCTGTGGGACGCCAGACTTGTCCAGGCTTGTTGGTGCAGAATACAGGGCCATTATAAGCCAGCAGAAGGGGCCCTGGGGGAGTCCAGCTTGGGCAAGAACAGGGATTGAGCAACTTTCTTATCTTGCACTGATAAGCACTGGACCTGAACAGGGGCAGGAGATGAGCAATTTGTTCATCTTAACAAGATGCAGCGCCTGACGGGTCTACTCCTCAATCAACTAAGTGATGCCTGGGGTGAGGGGGAGCCTTCACAGCTGGACCTTATTTTGGTAAAACTAAACAGACCACCGCCCCTCTACACTGAATGCCTTTGTTCTCTGCCACGCCCCCCCCCCCAGCCCCAATCAACTGCACAACAAGCCTTGTTAAGGGCCAATCGGCACACAATACCTGACTTAGTCCCACCTCGCCAAAAGTATAAATCTGGCATTTAGAATCCTCTTTTTTGAGGACAAGAACTCCAACTAACCAGACGGGTCAATGGGCCTGGACCTCTCTCCTCCCCAAGCTGGGATGCCTCTTTGGTAAGACTTGCACCTCCAATTATGGCTGATGTTACCTCGGGAAAACTATCAGTAACAAAAGCACTAACTACTAACTAGAGCTCAAAATTGTTGTGGTAAGTGCATTTATCAACGGCAATTCTGAGCTTTTTATATCTGTTGCCTCAATAAATTACCCGTTTTTCTTTTCAACTTTGTGAAACTGTTTCAGTGAAAGTCCTTAGTGGGGCTCTGACAGGCAAATGTTGACTCTGATAAGTGGCTACACACATTATCCTTTAGACATAAACCGTTGACCAAGTCTGGGACTAAGACTGGACCTAGCTGCACCTAGGCTCCTCTCTGAGAAGGAGTTTAGAAACCAAGGGGGTCCTTTCTAAACCTCATGACTCAACAGAAGGGCCTCCCTTAGCCACACATCAGACTTGTACCCTTTTACGCAACAGTAGCAAGCTTTGGTTTAGATCATGGAAGTTTTAGAAACACCTAATACTCTCCAAGTGCCAATAGTCATTCAGCCCACAGGACCTGACTAAAGCTAGTCTCAAGCGTAAGAATGCAGTGCAGACACTGGGCCTTTAGAAACATCTTCACTCTGCACATCTGTTCCTCTTGGCTGCTTTACTTGCTAGCACAGACAGAACCTGAGATCACCTCCTATTTTGCCACTGGAAAACAAAAGCAACATCAATACATAGCATTAACTTGCTTTAAACTACTATGTCACAGAGCTTTAGAGGTATTTCACTACATTCAGGTCAGAGTGTGTGACTTTGGTATAAATATCAGTATCCATTTAAGAAAGTCAACAAAATCTGAAGAATTTTCTGAACCAGCAAGGTGGTTCTGCCCTTTCCTGAAAATTAGTTTCACACTAATAAACAAGGAAGTTCTATTTATCTTATTTAGTCAAAATATCATTTCACGTAACACCAATAGGATCCAACCTCTCCCATACAAAAAGTAAATGGACACCCAATGCAATAGACTACTTCTTTCTTTCAAGCCATGAAAAAGGCTCTGATAATCAGACTACCTTTGTTTTTAATAAGCTGGATCCAGCAGTGCAATATATTTATTTATTCAAACAAAAATTTCACTTGAAACCTGCACAAAAACACATTAATGATAAATGCTGGTGTTAACTGCACTTGGAAAGTCACACTGAATTTTTGCCTAAATGGAGAATCAGTAGCTAGCAGACTGCTATCCTTCATGTCTTGAATGCTGTATTAAGTTAACAGAGAACATGGAAAGAGTCACTGCCACTTCACTTGTTCATAATTGAATGTTGAGTCAAAGAACCTCAAATTCTATCAACCACTGTTTAACAGGCTAGTTCTTCGTGAACACTTGAAAACAAATTTATCAACAAACCCGTGACAAGTAATCTCCACTTTGACTATCGGTCACAGACAGGTGACAACAGAACCTACTTTCATTAGACTCAATATACTGGATTGGTGACGCCAGATATGTATGCCATACACTGTAATGGGAAGTATGACAAAACTAAGACGACAGGCACTAAATTACGTACTAATTTACGCTGCCAGAAAAAGGGTCAAGAACTTGTTGAAAAGCTACTTCATGACAACAAATCCCTCAAACTGCAGTTACAGCTTTAATATGTACTATTACCCATTCAATTACTTTATTTCCACAAGAACAGCCAATTCATAGTTATTTTGCTCCATGCACTTTTAATATGCTTCAGAAACACCTGTTAAAAGAAACAGATGCATGCTTGAAGTCGGAATCTTCTTTCTCTCACCTTGCATATCTGCAAAATCATAATGATGACAAAAAAATGTGTAAATCAGGAATAATTCGCCTATAACAGTAGGTTTCTGGAGGTGAGGGAGAGAAGTAATTTTTAGGAATGTCATACTGAACTATGAAAATAAAAGAGACAAGAGGACACAAAGCTGTACAGTAGCCATGCTCATCAGTTTGCACCTGTGGAAAGTACAGCACGTTCTAATGCAAAAAAACCTAATGTTAGTAAAGTGTTTCAATATTTTGATCATATTCCATTATGCTCTCCAGAAAAATATTTTCTTGATTTTCACACAAGTAAATAAAGTTATTTTGTTTCATGGAGGAGTCTGACACATTGCGGATTTCATTCCGATTTGTAACACAAGGGAGTTTTGTAACAGCAAGATCTTCTATGATAGCTGGTTCTAGGAAAAGCCTGTAGAAGCACTACAAAACAAGCTATTCTAAAGGTAAAGAGATTTGTAAAGGTAGGGGGAGGTCCCACTGTCAACTACAGTCCACCAAAAGAAATGCTAAAACCTGCTTGTACACTCAGGCAGGAAGCTAAGTTTTTAACCTAGACACCTGCCTAAGGCATAGAGTTTCACCAAAATTTTATCTTTTTCAACTGTACTCTCACAAGCCTTACATTTTTCTGTAATGGTTTACCGAGACACAGTCAGTAAAACTAAGCAACTAACATGTCACTACAATAAATGGTAGGGGACAAAAAAAAAAAAACCCACAATTAAAAAAAAAAAAATCAAAAAAACACCACCAAGAAACAACCCCCCCCCCAAAAAAAACCCCAACGACAAACACCAAAAAAAATCCCCCACCCAAATACACTGAAAAACCCCAGACATCACTCCCCCATCCTCAATTTTGTGAAATCCTGCTTTTTGCAATTCATTATTGTATTTTTTACTAACTTCTAGATTCTTTAGACCACAGTTCTGTTGCCCAATCAACTAGTAATGTTATCACATACATAGAAATACTTGTAATCTATTTTCCATTGTATTCACATTTTCTGTACTGAATTACAGGAGTTTTTAAATTCTCAAAATAGATACTGCCTGAAGTTAGTGCCTCTATTCTCAACAGGACTCCAGCCTCATTTTCCACCTTCTTTCCCATAAAGCTGCATTATTCTTCAGTAACTTTCTGAATTCTTATTGAGTCTAAACATGTTGAAAATTTTAAGAATTACTGACAGGTGAGGTTTTTTAGTGGGTCTTTCTATAATGTACAGGTCCATAAAAGAACTGATAACGCTTTCCAAAGCCACACTGATGTCTGTTAAGCTCACTGTTAGTCCTTCATTTCATTAAATTTGAACTCAAAAAAGCACTGCTTTGGAGAACTGTTTGTAAAGAGAAAGAAAAGATGCAAGGCATTCCCATCCAAAGTCTTTTCCTTAATTGGCTTCCAAAGCATTTTCAGCATAAATGACTACATATTTGTTCATTTTAGAGAAAGTGTTCATCAGCAGAGCTCCTGTGCAAAGTGTTAATAACTTATCTTTTATAAAGTTACCAATCAATACAGGTGCATTTTTTCCTGATATAAGATATAATTTTACATACAGCTACTCTGAAAGTAGTCCTGGATGACTGAAGGATCATAAATCAAAAAGTTTTTAATCACTCACACTTGCTAAATTCTGTAATCTTGAACTGTATTACACGAATGACTGACTTCTGCAATCTTGTTGCATCTGTACTATTTGATTTGTATGTACATAAACAGTTGCCACTGACAGCTGTCTGCCGCTATCCTGCGGCAGAATATTTCACCTCAGCAGAAAAAACTATCCATTTTAGGTGCATATGTTGCTTTTTAAAGACGACCATAAAGCCTGTAAGGCACTTACCTTTTCGTAGTAAACTATTCCATATTCTTTATCATCACACTTGACGCAACGGAATTCAATCATCAGGTACATAAAATTAGAACTTCGTTTTTCCCTCTGAGAAGAGAACCACCACAGATGTGTATCATATCTTGAAGTGCATCAATCTTCAACATTCTCAATACAGCAATTACCCTACTTCCTTTGTGCTGTAACTGATTAATTAGATTATCAGTTGTTGTACCAATTATTCAGTTAATCATTTAATAGCACTACTTGAGACCATATCACCTTCTTCCTGACATTCTTACTTCCTCACATTCCCACTTTGCTTTTGTAAGTGGCTTGCAACTGTGGACTAAAGGTCTGCAAAAAGGCAATGAGGAATAACCAGCTGACAGACAGGATTTTTTGTGTTTTGGTTTTTTTTTAAACACAATTACATACACAAATTACATATGTGAGAGTCAAAAATCAGAAGACATGAAAAATATCACTGTTTTAGATAGAAACGTAAAAGAGACAAATTAAACTTGGACTACAAGATTAGATTTGCAGCTCATTCACTTACAGAGGAAGATTTGTTCACGTATGAATTTTTGAAATGTTCTACCTAGAAAAAGTGTGTAGAATTTTAAAATCTGGGTGGGAAACAAGAATGAACTTACACATAATCACCATCAGGAACATTTAATACAAAAAATAAGCATCCCCCATCTCCTTTAATAACAAGCAACTCAAGCTTGTTTCATGCATTAATAGTGGACTGACTTTCCACTACAGGCAAAGTGGTTCTGCATTTAAGGCACGGCCCTAGGAATCACATTTTTAGTGTTCTGTATTTTTAGAGAAAGTGAAGAGAAGAAAAAAAAAAAGGACTGGTAGAAGTCTAAAAAAAAAAAAAGTTTAAAAAATATTCATAAGGGTTTATAAGAACACAAATTTTAAGTTAAAAAAGAATCTGATTCCCAGAGGTCTAATTATAAGTAAGACAATCAAAATCAAAGGGCAAAGAGCAGAAACCAACAGTGTTCTTTGTGCAAGATAAGTATAACCCGTTAACAGTTTGGGGGTAATTTTGCTCAATGAGGGTTAACATCTCATTTACTATTTAACTACCAGATTTTCAACATTTTTTTTTTCATATTCATTCAAATCTTATAAGTGTTTTTCCTCAGCACCCAAAATCAAAACTAATAAAGCTGAATGGGTCTAAAACCAAGGAACAGTCTGTATGTCCAAAATGCTTCCCATCACAATCTAAATCCTAGAGTTAGTCATACATAACAGAATTTGTTCCAAGCTGTCCCAAATTACTAATAAATTACATCTTCCATGGTAAAGTTCACTTGAAGCTGAAAACTTAGAAGACAGCTGTCTATTCCGGTTGATGAGAAGTTCAACATCAGCCGGCAGTGTACACTTGCAGCCCAGAAAGCCAAACATATCCTGGGCTGCTTCAAAAGAAGCGTTACCAGCAGGTCAAGGGAGCTGATTCTGCCCCTCTACTCTGCTCTCCTGAGACATTCCCGTAAAGCTGCATGCAGCTCTGGGATTCCCAACATAAAAAGGACTTGGAGCTGTTGGAGCAAGTCCAGAGGAGGGTCACAATGATGATCAGAGGGCTGGAGCACCTCACCTATGAAGACAGGCTGAGACAGCTGGGGTTGTTAAGCCTGGAGAAGAGAAGGCTCCAGAGACACCTTACTGCAGCCTTCCAGTACCTGAAGGGGCTAGAGGAAAGCTGGAGAAGGACTGTTTACCAGGGCAGGGAGTGATAGGACAAGGGGCAATGGCCTTAAGCTCAGGGAGTGGAGATTTAGATTAGATATTAGGAAGAAAATCTCCACTGTGAGGGTGGTGAGACACTGGCACAGGTTGCCCAGAGAACCTGTGGATGCCCCCTCCCTGGAAATGTTCAAGGCCAAGTTGGATGGGGCTTTGGGCAACGTGGTCTAGTGGAGGGTGTCCCTGCCCATGGCAGGGGGGTTGGAACTAGATGGGCTTTGAGATCCCTTCCAACCCAAACCATTCTATGATTCTATGTGTCATGGGTTTGTCCCAGTCAGGACAAATTGTCCAAGAAAGCTGGAGAGGGATTGTTTACAAGGGCATGTAGTGATAGGACAAAGGGTAATGGTTCTAAACTAAAAGAAGGTAGATTCACACTAGATAGGAGGAAGAAAGGTTTTACAGTGAGGGTGGTGAAACACTGGTACAGGTTGCCCAGAGAGGCAGTAGCTGTCCCATCCCTGGAAACATTCAAGGTCAGGTTGGACAGGGCTCTCAACAACCTGATCTAGTTGAAGATGTCCCCAAGTATTGCAGGGGGATTGGATTAGGTGACCTTGAAAGATCCCTTCCAACTCAATCCATTCTATTGTTCTCATTATTGCCAAAATACAATCAACTCTGGAAGCTTAAAGAATTATTTTTCTGTTTATCACGTACACTAGCAGTTGAAGAAGAATAGGACTAGTGCTTAGAGTTAGTCTCCTAAGCAAGCAAGGTTCCGTATTAGCAAGATCTCCCCAACAAATTACAAATCTGATGTACAGTGGCCTACCTCATTGATCATTTCTATTTCTCTAAAGGTTAGTCTGTCCAGCCAGTCCACTTTCACCATGTGACCTTGTCGATGAGACTTGGTGAGCTGCATGAAAAAACACAATGATAACTTTTAAATTGCTCAGAGCAAGAAAAAGAATATCAAAGTTATAATTTAACAGAAACACTACAATCAAATCAGGGGAAAAATAAAGGAACCAGAAAAAACATTTGTACAGTACACACACAGTAGGTCCTTGTAAACAGCTAAGCCATGCCATAAAAATAATTCTATCTAAAACACCAATCACAGCAAAGATCAAAACCATGTTCCAAGCACATCACTTTTGCATTTTTAACACCTTAAAAACAGGAACCTATTTTTTAAGCACATAATAAACATAATTAATCGTTTTTGTTACTAAGTTTCATACAGAAAAACTTACCAAGCCAAAAAAAAAAAAGATATTTCAAAAACTACCCAAATTGAATAATTCTGCCCTTGTTAGCCTTACCTAAACAAGTTTTCAGATCGCGACTTACACATAATCAGCTGAAAACTCATAGCAAGTCATGGAGAGCTTGTTCTCCCTTTCCTTTTAGTCATCTGCAAAGCAGTAGTTTTACTCATACATCTACATACTGCTGTAAAAACAGCAAGGAAGTTGAGTTGTTTAAAGGACTACCTAACAGCACAAGAGTGGAAGAGAAGATAAGATACGAGCCATACTACTTGTAGTTTCAGATGCACTAACACACAATAGCTTATGAAAAATTCAGCAGACGACCACATAAGTACGAACAAGAATCATCTCTTTGGCTCCTAAGAAATCACAAGTGTTCCTCAAAAAATTAGTAATTCTTGCAGTACGCAAGAAGAGATGCAAAGTGACTAGAAGACACCAAGTTCTTTCATGTTTCAAAGAAATCAGTATCTGTCTGCAAAAAAGGCTAGTGAAGAGACACTCCGATCTTTTCATATGAAGGGAAGGGTTACAACCATTACTTCACCAACTTTGCTCTGTAGCCAGCCTGTGGTTTTCTGTGGTTTTGGCTGGCGTAGAGTTAATTTTCTTCACAGCAGCTAGTATGGGGCTATGTTTTAGATTTATGCTGAAAACAGTGCTGATAACAGACAGATGTTTTTGTTACTGCTGAGCAGTGCTCA